TTCGTAGCCAGGCAACTGGCAGCATTATCAGTGCAATTTCGGGGAAGAAGATGGATCGCGCAGGACTACGACGCTTGGTCATGTCTCGGTTGGATTTTGTGAGATTATAACCGAGGAAACGTCAAGCACTGTTGATTAGACCAATGCTCCGATCTCAATCTTGTCGAAAAGATTCGAGATTTCACAGTCCGAAGAATCAGGGAAGAGGATATTCTTAATCTTAATAGCCAGAGAGAAGCTTTAAGGAAGGAGTGAGAAGCAGTGCCATGAGCATACATGAAGAAAATTGTCATCTGCATGACTTTCAGAGCCATTTGGGCTCGTAACCGTGGAACTAATCAAACAGTTCACCAACCAAAAAGTGGTTTACATACTGAACTGAACGGGGACTGCCAACTTTCAAATTTATCATAAAAGTTCGATAAACATGGTATTTATTCCATTCATTCGGTTTGAGAGACCTCTCTCCAATATTCAACAAACGAGACGCTGTACTGGACAAAGCTGCAACTAGCCGTTCTAATCTTTCCTCTATCAAGCCGAAATCACCGTGTTTCTCTAGCGGCCACTGTATTCCTTGTCTTAAGCCAAGGGTTTACTCTCGATGAGCATAACTCACTTTTGTTTAAAGAAAAACGAAGCAAATGAGCACTCAAATTCGCAGTCTTCCAGCCGTCAGAATCATTCGCCTGAAGAAATCTCATGCTTTCATCACCTCGTGGTTTTCGTTCCAAAAATCTCTCTTTTCTGACGATCAGTTTACCAACAAAACGAACGAATGCAAATTTCAATTTCGGTGACCCTGTAGAAACGTCTTTCGTTCACACTGGTACAGCTTACCCCATAATTTCCAAAATACATTTACAAGAATTAGTAATCCGCGTACAAGCTGCAGCAAACCAACGCTGTTAAACGGCATTCCTTACAAACCACTGAAGAGGTCAAAAGATTGACTGTTTCATTAAGTGCCGGGTAACTGGGATCAGATGGGGTTTGGGGGGGGAGAAGTTAGAGAGTCACGTAGGCAGATAAAACACATAACAGACAGATTTGTTGATGTAGAAGGCTTCCAGTCGGCATCTGTTAAATCCTGAGGCATTATTACCGCCAAACCTCACAAAATTCGTGTCCATCAAAGACACATTTTCCTATGAGAACGCTCTTGAGCTTGTTAGGATTGTGAAAACCATAATTACAGTAGTCTCAGATGGCCTGTTCTGATCTGAACTTATCTGTGGTTCCTGTCCTTACACGAAGATAGTCCAATGCTTTTATAGGCAGAGCGACTTTCTGATATCCGTATTTAGCTGCTGACTACTTCGTTGCCTGTTAGTAGCCAGTTGAGATTAACCTGAACATTCGTACGTATAGGTAGATTGTTTGGATGGACCCTATTTCTCGCTTAGGGGCACATTATTCACCCGTAAAATTTACGTGGAACGGAGGAGATAATGTAATCCAGATAAGATGCTTACGGGACGCCTCTACATCTAATTGAATCCTTAGATGTCTCCCATAGTGAACACAAGTTAATATTACAAGTTACTATAGTAAAGGTAGTGCTCTAAAGGGAACATCTAGATTTTTGGGGCTGAATGGACAAAACGATTGTTTGTAAACTTGAGCTTGGACATCATTATGTGGCGGTACCACGAAAGAGCGTGTGAAGGGGTTCCCAAGAGGCGCGTTTCCATCATAAATCGCGAGATACTTGGTCCTGAATAAGTAGTAGAGGATGTAGATAAATTTTGCCATCTAAACAGCTATCTCACCTGGCGTGCGCATCACAGATAAAGTGTCGGCGCGCGTACAAACGGTTCGGTTGGTATTTGCCAACTTTAGACATTTGTGGCACCGTCGCAACATCCGGCTGTCTGTGAAGGGTTGAGTATATTCTGCAGTAGTTCCGCTAGTGCTGCTTTATGGTCCAGAGACTTGGTCATTATAGGAACGGGATAAAAATAGATTGTCGAACACCGCTGTCTACGCAGCATTAAATGACTCAGGTGGGGCAGCCAAACGAGCAATGCTGAAGTTAGGCGTAGAGCTTTAGGCAATCGTGATCGCCCACTGGAGCAAGTGGTCGACCTCCATAGATTACGCTGGTTGGGACGTGTTACGCATGTCAACAGATATGCTGCCACGGCGAGCGATGTTTGCCGAGGCAGGTAACGGTTGGAAAAAGGTCAAGGGTGGTCAAACGAGGACTTGGCATGAGGCTAGGTCACATAGGTCCCATTAGACTCCCTGGCTGGGGACCCCGAGATGATGATCACCGATGTTTAGAGACACTGAGTGATATGGTTGGGTGTCCCCAACAGTGGCGCTCGTGTATCTATTCATTATTCTCTTAACATCAGTAAATTCGCTATCTTCCGTTTGCATTTACTCTTAACACTCTAATTCTTAATTCTGCTCTGTGATCCAAATGGGCAACCAAAACCGGNTGCACAAAATTGCATGGCTAATGGTTGTAAAAACCGAACTGAACCAAACCTGAATATGTTTCAGGTTCTGCTATTCGCCCACTATTGGAGTTAGAAAGTGGTGTTATTTCCTCTTCTCTAAACTGAAGTAGATTTTGACGCCAAACATATTCAGAATATTTGTCAATTCTTACATAGTCAGTGATTTCTTATGGAACATATTTTTCTACTCTGAATCTGTCCAGTGCATTTTGTTTTCAGAGAAGAAGCGGTCGATTTTCGCTTTATCAGATAGAGACGCTTGAT